ATATAGATGTAGAACACACCGAGGAAAATTAGGGATTAAGTTATTATCTTTCCCAGCTGTGTAGCTTAGTGTGTTCAATCTGTTAACTGTGTAGGGTTGGCGACTAGGGAGACACGCTCTAGCATACTGTAGCCCAGAACTCTATGAGTAACGATTGTGTAAAGATATGTTCAAAAATGATTATTTTCTGAACAACTGAACTGTACTGTTTCTGGATTGAATACTGTTAATTGAATAAATGTATGTCCTATATTCTGAACTATATTATGGCATCCTTAGCACCTATTGTTTACTATTACTGTTACTGTTACAGAGATCTCTGTCGGTTCCCTTGTTGGAACCACTACTGTTACTGACTGATGGCCATCATTTACTGCTCGGTCTTTTAAGACCTACTGTTTACTGTACTGTTATGCTAATGGATGTACCACATATGACTGTACTGATTGAACGACTGAAATACTGTTTAAATGGACTGTTTTCATTACTGTAAAGACATTCATTCTTAACCCCTTTATGCATTATGTTATTCACTGGGCTTTAGCTCACTGCTCATATATATATGTAGGTGTGCAGGCACCAGACCGCGACTACGAGCGTCAGAGTTACTCCAGTTTTGTCAAGCCAGCCTATGTGCCTCACTGCGAGGTTCCGAGCCTATCGTGTTAAGGCTTAGGGGTGTTTTACAATTCCCCCTTCTGTACTGTCTTACTGTTTTGTATAGACCGAATGCTTACTGTACTGTTATATAGAGAGTAAGTCCCTATTCTGAATGATTGTATATATGTTGTGTATACCTTTCCACTGAATGTATATATGTATGAAAGTCTTTTTGCATACAGACTGTCACAGCTCATTGGACATTGTTTATTTACTGTTTTGGCTTCCGCCAGGCCCTGTACTCTGTTTTACTGTTCTACTGTTCTGCAGGCCTTCGATAATCTCGGATTATTGGCCGGTTATGGTGCTAAACCCATAGGGCCGGATTTGGGTCGTGACAGTGAAAGACTGAAAACAAGCGCGGATGAGGTACCATTTCCCTTCCGGTTAGCAACCGGTAAAGTGGGGTTTTGGTAGTGCTAATTATGCCTACTTGCAAACACCAACCTAGGGATTACCTGAGTCGTATTTACCGCCCTTTGAACTAAATTGATAATTTTTGAATTGTTGAGATTTCAAATGATCATTGAGTTTGATGGTTTTCTAAAGATGTAAATGTGATTTTCTTTAAAAAAGTATAGCATGGCATGTGCATTTCATTTGGTGAGGCTTGTATAAAATGTATATACTTTGTTAAGAATTTTCTATTGGGCTTTATGTTCACCCTATGGGATTTTAATGCAGGAAAAGATGTGGTGATTCCGCCGAACTAGGGCATGGATGTATATGTTGAGAGCACAAGGCTCTTGTTTTGTTGTGATATATTTTGCTAGCCAAGGGCTATAACTATATGGGTTCGAGAGACCATTTTTGTGTAACCAGGCTTAAGCCTTAGAATTTGTTAGCCCTTGAGGGTATTTATCTTTCTTTTTGATTTAATGTCCCACATGCTATAGATTCATGTATTAGGAACCATTGAATGTATACTTGCATGTGGAATTATTTTGTATGAATCTCATGATCATGTAATGCAAGTGTTGGAGATTTATTTTGGGATATCATAAAGAGCCATAGTTATTGTACTATTATTTTGCATAAATTTTTGGGGCACTACAACGACCCACCTCTTTTCTCTTCTTTTTAGACTTTTGGTGGATAAAAAAAAAAGAAAAAAAGTTGGCATGCTGTCATTTTGTTTAGCCGGCTAACTTTTTTTTGTGGCCAAATGGTTTTATGGCCGGCCGACTGGTTTTATGAGACAAAACAAAAGGCAACACAAATAGAGAGAGAGAGAGAGAGAAAGAGAGAGAGAGAGAGATGGGAATTTGAGAGAGATGAAAATTTTACACCAAAGAAAACACAAGATCAAACATTTAAAAGCTAACCAATTTCACATTATGTTTGGTAAACAGAAATCGTAGGTAAATAAATGAAAAAAATTGAAAACTTTCCCCCTAACAATTTTCTGAGCACCCAATCAGACATTAAAACAAGAGGAAGGAAAAAGAGATGAGGAAGGAATAAGAGGAAGAAGAGAGGGGGAAAGAAAAATAAAAATAAAAATGAAAATAAATTGATTTTGATTTTGATTATGAGTTTGGATTTAGAAAGAACAGAAGAAGAAGAAGAAGAAGAAGAAGAAGGAGGAGGAGGAAAAAGAGAGAAAGAAGGAGAAGAAGAGAGGAAAAAGAAAGAAAGAAAAAAATAAAAAAAGGTGCCAAAATGACGTCGTTTTGGCCATTCAAGCCACAAATTATTCGAACTACCTAGTGGGGTTATTAGTTTATATTTATCAAATTGACGACTTTACCCTTGAAATTGAGTAATGATATTTTTAATTGTCCTCATTTGCACCAAGATTCAAAATTTAAGTTCAAATGTATCACAATTGAAAAGTCAAAGACCGAAGTGATATAAGTTTCAAACTATAGAGACCGTTAGTGTAATTTGCTCAAAAATATACTAAATTTTCAATTTTTTTTATTTATATTTTTGGTATTTAGTAAATTTTATAAAGATTTTTTTCACAAATATTATATTTTTAAAATGTTTTTATGTTAGGTTTATCTAAAAATTTTAAAAAAAAATTTATTTAAAAAATTCAATAAAAACAAAAAATATGAAAAATAAAAAATAAAAAATTTTTAAAAAATGAATCATGAGTTATAAAATTAAACAATTTATTGAGTTTTAATTCCAACCACTGTAATCTTTTTTGTTGCCATAAAGTTATGGACACCAAAACCCCATCTTTCCACCATCCTTTCGGGCTGTCAATGAAGGCTTTCAATGTGCCTATTTGGTGCAGCTTAAAAGCTGCTCATTTCAACTTTTAACTTAATTTAAGTTATTTTGATGTGTTTAGTTTAGCTTATACCTTATAACTTATAGCTTTTTGGAAGTCAGAAATTAGCTTATTTTTTAAGTGGGGTAAGAGATGCTTAATTTATAAGTCAGAAATCAGCTTATGTTCATAGTTATAAGTTATAGGCTGTATGTAAATCTTTACACCAATGTTTTGAAAACAAAACTAGATTGATCCAATGAAAGTGTTTCAAATAAAAAATTGATGTTATTTCGTAAAATCGCCCGAATCGGCGATTTAATGGGGAAATAGGCACATCGGAAGCAAATCATCATAATCGGTTCCATTAGATGGGTTTGGGAGAGAGATTCCATTCCATGTTTGGCTTCGCGGTTCGATTGCGGGCGAGACGAATTAGAAAAAAATTAATTCGTATCTGTTCGTCGAATTCACGGATACAAATTAAACGAATTGATGGATGGATGTGAATTGGTTTAGCAATTTAAATTTTTACAAATTTTAAATATAATACATCAACTTGTCAATTTTTTTTGGATAACAATCTAACTCAACATAACTAAAAGATTATCAAGTAAAATTTTAAAATACCAATAATAAATACATATGAGAAAATCATGTATTATAAAAACTATTTCATTATTTTTTTATTCAAAAATTATTTAATTTGTTTTTTTTTTAAATGACAAAATTAAGTTTTATATTTTCTTCATAAAAATACTAAATATCAGAACTTGTCATTTGATAAAAGAATTTTTAAATTGAAAATATAGTAGAATATCTAAACTCTTTTTCAATTTTAAATTGAAAATACAGTAGAATATCTAAACTCTTTTTTAATTAAAAATACAAACAGAATATCTAAATAAATTAAAAATACAAATTCTTTCAAATTACTAGGATGCTCACAGTTTGACGGTTCGGTTGTGGCTAAAAGAATTTCAAATCTATCATTCGTCTAAAACTAAACAGATTAAAAAAATCAATCCATAACTGTCTACTTGTCATTACACATTTATCTAAAATACATACATCAATTCGATTTGTTTAGGTTAAACGAATGAAAAAATTCACTGCTCACTCCAGTTTCGTGAGAATTGAGATCCTCCCCTTACACTCCCTCTTTGTACTCATTCCTTGTAGGGCTTTCGGGCCCATTTTTAGGCTCAATTTTGATAATCCGAACCGTTCATATTTTAAGATTTATTCAGTATATCATACCTGTAAAAAATCAAGTTGATCGGATATAAAAAAGTATGTGTTCGAAAACTGTTTATTAAATTTTTTTAAAAATTAGTTTTTAATTCGATTTTTCCGAACGCATACTTTCTGATATTTGATCAACTTAAATTTTTATAAATATAATATACTAAATAAATCTTAAAATATGAATAATTTAAATTATTAAAATTAGGCCTAAAAACAAAATCGATCCAAAATACATAAATCAATTCGATTTGTTCAGTTTAAACGAATGAAAAGATTCGCTGCTCACTCCAGTTCCGTGAAAATTGAGATCCTCTCCTTGCACTCCCTCCTTGTACTCATTCCTTGTAGGGCCTTCGGGCCCACTTTTAGGCTCAATTTTGATAATTCGAACCGTTCATATTTTAAGATTTATTCAGTATATCATACCTGTAAAAAATCAAGTTGATCGGATATCAGAAAGCATGTGTTCGAAAAACTGTTTATTAAATTTTTTTAAAAAATAGTTTTTAATTCGATTTTTCCGAACACATACTTTTTTATATCCGATCAACTTAATCTTTTACAAGTACGATATACTAAATAAATATTAAAATATAAATAATTTAAATTATTAAAATTGAGCCTAAAAATAAACACGAAGGCCATGCAAAGTGAGAGTCCAAGGAGGGAGTGTAATGGGAGAATCTTGACTCGTTCCGTGACATCAAAAGGGAGATTGGCCAACCCAACCAGGAGAAACCAGGGACGTGGCTGCAATAACGTGGCAAGCGTTGGTTGGTTCCCTTAGATTGGTGGGTTCCACGCAGAATTGCCAATTCGGGTAACTAAGATACAATGGTAGATGTAAAGCAGTCAATATTGGTTGTCTGATTATATAATGATATGATATGATAGATATACAGGTGGAAATTGGAATATGTTTCTCTCTCTCTCTCTCCCGTAGAACTCGAAAACCTTCCTCTCCCTCGTTCATATTCCAGTGACAATACAATAGTTTCACATGATCAATTGACAATTTTCTTTCTGCAATGAAACGAGTTTTGATGATTTGTACCGTATGCTTCTTCTTCTCGGCCATCTCCGGCGGCCTCTCCACCTCCATCTCCGATCTAAATCGCGAAGAAGAAGGGGTCGACATGTTAAAACCCGCACCAACCACCTCTCTATTGCCAGTCACACCGTGAGTCTTTCTCATTTCTATTTATTTATTTTTTGCCTGAGATTTATTGTTTTGTAGAGCTGCATGCATCATCGCTTATGGCTTTGACCGTACGGCCTCCATTTCACTCTCCCTAAAATATGGGTAAAACTCAATTTGATATAAGTTTGAGTCAAGGAGTGGATAGGGTTTTGAGTTATTTTTACCCAAATTTAAATTTGATATAGATTTGAGTAAGGGTTGGAGATGCCCTCATAATAATTCTCTGATATTACAGTTGCACAATCGTTGTTGAGGAGAGGATTAGGCAAGCAGGGTACAAAATAAGAAAATTGAATATCCTAATGAGCTGGAATTAGATTACCTTTTCATAGCTGGTAATGTTCACTTGTCTATTTTTCAAAGGGAAAGTTGAACCTCATGCCATATGCTTGTGCTATTTCCATCTTGATGGGAATCATCTTCAGGCATTATATAACAAATTAACATTGATTAAATGGAGTTGGTTACTGTGTGGGTGATTTTCTGACCACACTGCCAACTTAGTACTCAACTGGAGAATACCGGCATAATAGATTAAGCCCGAACGACCTGCAACAGAAAGAAGAGATTCCGGCGGTAGCTCGTCCACCCGGGGGCACTCTGACGATCAAGTCAGTAAAATATCTCTCAAAGATAACCAATAGTGCTTAACTCACTAGACAGAGCATAAAAGACATACCTTAGATCCATGGGGATGTCTCTCTTTTATAGCCAACATAAACCTAGTCCTAATAGAAGCCTAACTTTTATGGACTCAGGATTACTGCTAATCTTGGACTCCCAGTAAGATTAGGATAAACTCTCTAAGAGTCTTATCTTAATACAAACTGAAGTCTTCTCTCATTCTAGGCTCTTGCCCCTCATCCGCTTATTTCGGATTCCGATATCTTCGGAGGTAACCTCGGCCTATCCGAGATGACCTCGGCATAACAACCAGGACACGTGGCACCTCGGCTGACACGTCGGCGTCACCTTGGCCACGTGTTGGTACTCAGAAAATATATCCCCACAACTGCCCCCTAGGTTCTATTACCTCGGCATTATGAGGTGATGGAACCTACACTGTTCGTTCATCTGTGCCCCTTTGTCCGAGATAAAACTCGCCGACCTCAAAGTTCTCTGGACTTTACTGTCCACTTCTGTCAAGTATCAAGCTTCATGCTTTCCAAGCTGCTCGAGATCACACCTCCTAGCCGAGGTTCTTGTTCCATTAATTCGTAAACCCCAAGAGCTTTGCAACTGCTCCACTCACATTTTTCGGTGGATTCCCGACTTCCAGTCATCTATTTGACTCTGGCGATCTTCATATCGGCGTTCATATCTCTTGGTAGGTTCATAAACTCTTTTATTAAGCTCAATCTTTCATAACTCTTCTGAATCCGTTTACTTGCCCTCTGTTGTCTTCTATTTTCGTCTGTTTTCAAGTTTTGAATTGTTTGAATGCCTGGCACTGTTCTTGCCATATCCGCTTTCTGTTGCTAGCATCGTGTCTGGGTCATTACTTTCTTGTTCTTCACATACTTACTTAATACTTGTGCACTTGGTTTTATTCTTGAACTTTGTCGTCTTCTTAACTCTGATTTTTCTATTCAATCCTCTGACTTTTTCTCTTTTTAGCTCTTTTGCTTAAATCCGTCATTATTCCAAGCTTTTAAGCTCTGCAACTGGTTTCGTTCCTCTCCTCCGGTGAAGCTTACATCATTCTGTCATTTTCGCATCCGTCGTCAAACTTCAGCAATTCTCATTCCGGTTTCCCTCTTTCTGGTAAGCCACTGTTCCTCCTGGTTTTATTTCTTGTTGCTTTCCAAGAAGCTCTGCTTCATTGTTAATCACCATTGTTGTTTTACCCATTGTTTCCAAATCATCTTCTTGAATACACACTGTTCACACATCTGTTGATTTCTGCCACTGTGTTTGACACACCTGTGCAATCTTTTTGTCTTGATTTCCTGATAGCTTCATCACCATTTTTATTACGAATTACATTCTTGTTTCTGTTTTCTGTGTCTTTTTCAAGATTCTTGCTTTCAATCCTTGCCTTCAAACTCCAAGGTGCCAATCACCGAGAAGAGCTTTGATCAAACTCTTTCGGGAGATCGATGCTGAGCTCGAGACCGAGAAGGCTGCTGAGAAGTCTTCCCAACTGTTTACTATATCCTGCCATTGATGCCAAGTAGTTTTGTTTCCTTCTTTTACTCCTTGTACCTTATACCTTGTACTTTGTCCTTCTTTGTATACTTTTAATCCGGCCGACGTGCCATTTTTGTAGTCTGAATAATTTATTTTTCAATATTCAGGCCGAAGTGCCTTCTTTCTTCTTTAAATGCATTTCTCTGATTTCTTCTTTGAATGTATGTCTTCTTTTTTCTGCTCTTGTATGATTCTACACTTAGAATAATTTGCATGTCTTCAAAGTACACCTTGACTGTGCAATCTCTTCGGGTAAAATACCTCTGTCACAACTTCTAATCTTGCTCATCTCGGCCTTGTCCTAACACTTGAAAATATTGTAACAAATATTTTCACAAGTGTTGCTTAGGACTTGTCACTTTCTCAATGTCTTCTATCAAGACTTCAGTTTTCCATATTTCAAGTTTTGACAACCTGGTAGTCTCGGCAAGTACGCAGATATTGCTTGAACTTGACTTTAACTTGTAAATTTTTCTCAAAAATTTCAACAAGTGTTTTAACCATCATCCTTTATCATAACTCGGCTTAACTTCAGCTTGTAAATTTTTCTCAAAATTTCAACAAGTGTTAAACCATCTTCCTTTCGATACGACCTCGTTTAAACTATAACTTGTAAATCACACAAAAATTTCAACAAGTGTTTAAAACGCAATCTTCTTCGATATGACCTCGGTTTAACTTCAACTTGTAATTTCACACAGAATTTCAACAAGTGTTAAATTGACCTCAGATTTAACCTCAACTTGTAAATTCACACAAATTTCAACAAGTGTTAAAATATCACATCGTTTAACTTCAACTTGTAAATTCACACAGAATTTCAGATATCCTAAGGCCAATGGGCCTCAATAGACTGCAGAAGCTTTCCCTATTTGGCCGGACCCTGTAAGTGGTAAACATCATATTGGTTTAACCAACTTGTAAATTGCTACAAATTTCAACAAGTGGTAAACATCATATCGGTTTAACCAACTTGTAAATTGCTACAAATTTCAACAAGTGGTAAACATCACTTGTAAATTACTGCAAATTTTAACAAGTGGTAAACATATTCTTCTTCTCTCTGCCCCCTGCATGGCTTCCACATACTCCTTTGCGAACCTTATAAAATTTCTTCAGCCTGGCTAACTGCAATCCAACCTTGTGTGTTTTCTTTTTTTATCTTTTAGGATCTGAGATCTGCTCACTGAGCTCTTCTCTTCTCGGACTTAAGTGTCGAGATCTTGTCTACTAGAATCTTGGATCTGCTCACTCAGGTTGAGCTCTTCTCTTCTCGGACCTTCTCATCTAGGCCGAGATCATGTCTTCTAAGATCCGGGATCTGCTCACTTAGGATGAGTTCTTCTATACTTGAATGTTATCTCCTTGGGAGCGCTCATGCCCCCTGTCTTTGCATCCCTTCTGGAAGGGTCTTCGTTCCTTCGCAGGTATCTATCCTTCCATACTTGGAGGTCATCTTCGTTGTAGTATCCGCTTCGATCTGTTGTCTTTAGTGCGACACCTTTCTGGCTGGCGTCTTTCACTCCGTGACTCTGGTCACGAGTTTCTGTGTTGCGGTCGTCCCCTTCAACGTCGAGGTTGATAGGTCTCCCACTCCCAGCAGGTGCGTTGTCTCCAATCTGATCCTTCTGTCCGTCATTGGCCATCTATTCTTCTTTCTTTCATTGGCCATCTATTCTTCTTTTTTTCCCACAGACGGCGCCAAATTGTGTGGGTGATTTTCTGACCACACTGGAGAACACCGGCAGAATAGATTAAGCCCGAACGACCTGCAACAGAAAGAAGAGATTCCAGCGGTGGCTCGTCCACCCGGGGACACTCCGACGATTAAGTCAGTAAAATATCTCTCAAAGATAACCAATAGTGCTTAACTCACTAGACAGAGCATAAAACATACCTTAGACCCATGGGGGTGCCTCTGTTTTATAGCCAACATAAACCTAGTCCCAATAGAAGTCTAACTTCTATGGACTCAGGATTACTGCTAATCTTGGACTCCCAGTGAGATTAGGATAAACTCTCTAAAAGTCTTATCTTAATACAAACTGAAGTCTTCTCTCATTCTAGAACTCTTGCCCCTCATCCGCTTATCTCGGATTCCGATATCTTCGAAGGTAACCTCGGCCTATCCAAGATGACCTCGGCATAACAACCAGGACACGTGGCACCTCGGCTGACACGTCGGCGTCACCTTGGCCACGTGTTGGTACTCAGAAAATATATCCCCACAGTTACTAAAGTTATGTAGCAGCTACTCGAGTGACCGTAGTGAAAGTGGAAGTGATTTTGCTTGCTTTGCTAATGTCATCGGGAAGTGTGATATTTGATTCGGTTATTCAACCTGCAAACCATAAGCTCAGGTGGAATAATTAAATTGTATATCATATTTATGCGAGTTAATTATACAATGTCAGCAGAAAAGACACCTGCAAACCATAAGCTCAGGTGGAATAATTAAATTGTATATCATATTTATGCAAGTTAATTGTACAATGTCAGCAGAAAAGACAATTTAAATTCTTTTGGTTTAATTCTAGTGATAGTTATTGAATGGATTTTTTTTTTAGTCATTTTTCAGGAAAAAAATGTTAAAATTGGTAGAGTGATAGTGAATGATATATATTTGGTTTTGCTAAGGTGACCAAGAAATACAAATACGGAATGATGGTTGAAGGAATTACATTTTTACAATGTGAGATAACTACCCTAACCTTGTTAAACTATCTCCTTAGGAATAAAAGCTCAAACTCTCGAGGCAACCATCTCCATTTGAGAATAGATAGTATCTTTTTTATGACTAGTTGGTCTCAGTAAAATAGATAAAAATAAATAATAAAAAATTAAAATTTCCAGTTTTTCTGCCTCACACAGGCATTGTGCATGTCATGTAACTTGTACAGATGCATGAGTTTCATTTTTGTTTCGTATTTGAATGGCTTTGCCAAAGATGGATGATTTTAATCTCATTATCTGTCATATTAATTCATCTGTTATGCTTTTCATCTTCGATTCAGTAAACATAATACTGCTCTAGTGGCTGCTCTAGATGGAACAATTTATTTAGTGGAGACCAATTCAAGAAAAATCCTGTGGTCATTCACATCAGGCCCATCAATTTATTCTTCATATCAGGCTCTTCCTCCTACCCATGACAGTGATAATCGTAATGACTCTGAACTCCAAGACTTTTTTATAGATTGTGGAGATGATTGGGAACTCTATGTGCATGGTCCTGGCTATAAAAAATCGGTATGTGAGAATGTGTTTAGTTTAGTTGTAGCTATTCTGATGTCCTTGTTGGAACCTGGACATTTCCTCGTCTTCAAACTTTTAAAGATTTGTCTATAAAATCTGTTCTCACTGTTCATATAATCTGAATTTTTACGAGAATAATGTGGATATACACTGATGTGATGTTCTCATTGATAAGGACGAGTCCTTCCTAGAGACTTGCTTATGTGCATATACTGTTGTTGCAGAAAGTGTGCCCATTTACACCACGATAACATTCCTTAATGTGCCATTATTCTTATTGTGCTCCAGAAACTCCCGATGAGTGCTGAAGAATTTATCAAACGCACACCAATTATATCAGCTGATGGGGGAGTCTTGTTAGGATCAAAAAATACCACAGCGTTCCTTGTTGATGCTAAATCTGGAGCAGTTATTTATGCTTTCGGGTCGGCTGATCATTCTGCAATAGGGGCTCAGAGTGCTGAAGAAAATGCAATCCTACCAAGAAAAGATGTAGAAGGATGGGTAGAGTCCGAAGTTGAACAGCCCCTTTTTGTTATCAGGACAGACTATGTATTGAAGTATTTTTCTCGAAAGACTGGCAAAGAATTATGGTACCTAAGGTTTGCGGAAATTGAAACTTCCTTTCAATGTCAAGAGGCTGGTAATTATTTTGGTGAAGGTTCCCCAAATCCTGAAGATGATTTTGGTCCAGAGTTGAAGGGTGATGACGAGTTGCCATTAACATGTCAGAGAAGGGCTGTTGTCTACAGAATTCGTGATCATAGCTTGTTAGAGCAGCTCTTAGGGTCTGATAGACTACCAAACACTCATCTTGGAGGTAGGCTTCCTCCTTTACCTGCTCCTGATCTTAATCCTCTTTTAAAACCTCTTGCTAGGTTATCAGAGGTGCATCAGAATAAGGCAGGCAAAGTTGTGCTTGCTTTGCCCCCTCCAGAGACTGAAGACTTTGGCATCTTGAGTTTGCATAGGGGAGGTTCTGGTAAAATGTATACTAATGTAGCTCCTGAAATTGTGCATCAGAATAAGGCAGGTCAAGTGGTGCTTGCTTTGCCCCCTCCAAAGACTGAAGACTTTGGGATCTTGAGTTTGCATAGGGGAGGTGCCTGTAAAATGTATACTAGTGTAGCTCCTGAAATTTTGGCAGCGTCTCATATGTGGTATTTTGTTGTTTTTGTTGTCCTCCTGTCTTTTATAGTTGCTTTCCTTTTCTATGTTAGTCCTTTAGCAGTTGTAGAAAAGGTTAAGTTGAATAAATGGTCTGAGGAGGGCAAAGTTCAAGCTATGATGTCCAAAAAGAAGAAAGCTCGGAAATCGGGAATCCATAAGAATAGTGCTGGAATTGAGCCAAGTTGGGAAGATGTTTCACATGAGACTATGGTTGGAGACACAAATGGACTTCTAGAGAATCCACATGTTGAGAGAACTGTAAGGAAATCTCAGCTGACTTTTTTCAATCCTGTTGATGGTAGCATAGATGGACGTAAGATTGGTAAATTGTTCGTCACTAATAAAGAAATTGCTAAGGGAAGCAATGGAACCATTGTACTTGAGGGAATATATGATGGTCGTCCAGTAGCTGTTAAACGCCTTGTGCGGACACATCATGATGTTGCCTTGAAAGAGATTCAAAATCTTATTGCATCAGATTTTCATCCAAATATAGTTCGATGGTATGGAGTGGAGTTTGATCAAGATTTTGTTTATCTCTCTCTGGAGCGTTGTACCTGTAACTTGGGTGAATTGATATTTTCATACTCCTGTACTTTGCAAAATCAAATAAAGAACAAGGACCAAGACCCAAACTTCTTTGATGAATGCACTACCCGATTACATTCGACAGTAGAAAATAAGGATTTTGAATTGTGGAAAGCAAATGGGCATCCATCATCTCAGTTGTTAAAACTTATGAGGTTAGTTCAAGTCTTTTTGCTCCCTTATTTAAATTGCTTCATATTTCTCCAGTTCTTATTTTGTTATTCATAGATGGCTTTCTTATTTGTACATATGATAATGGCACTAAACATGTTGTCTGACATTGCTGGATATGTGGAGTCACTTCCTCACCGATTTGTCAATTAACTACCAAGTAACTTAACTTGAGGCAAATATCTAGTCCGGATAAGCGACTTTATACCTGAGTTTTAGTTTGGATGTAACTGATTAGCCAAGTCAAAGTGATACGTGATCCCATTGAGTTGAAATGGAACATGTGAGCATTAAAATCTTATTTAACACTTGATACAGAATTTTTACATTTAAACCAGCGGATGCGTTTTTCAGTCCGATTCTCCAGTCTGTATCCAAACCACCCTCCATGCTTATACTGTTCTACATATACCAATGCTGCTTCTGCAACATGGTTCTATAATTATTGCCCATGAAGTCAATGAAAATTTAAATGAATTTCCTCCTATAATGGTGAAAACTGATCTTTTTCTCAATCTTGATTTGTGCAGGGATATAGTTTCTGGGCTTGCCCATTTGCATGAACTTGGAATTATTCATAGGGATTTAAAGCCTCAAAATGTACTGATCATCAAGGGCAGATCTATATGTGCCAAGCTTTCAGATATGGGCATTAGCAAGCGCCTTCCTGGGAACATGTCATCTTTAACTCAAAGTGCTACTGGTCAGTGTCTTCCATAATTTGGTGTTAATGTTCCTTATGGGCATGGAGTTTTGGAATCAATCTTTGCATAACAATCCTCCAAATTCATCTTTTTGTCATTTTTACTTTTATGGATCCTGCAGAGACATTCCAATTTTTGTTTTTTACCAAAAAAGGAAATATCAATAAAATAAGAGAGGAATTGGAGTAGCTTCTTTTTTGACCTACTCTATGGGCATTGTGTGTCCTATTACTCTCTGCATATATAAATTGGAATTGTATATTTGATTTCTTATTTCTCTGTTTTGCTACTTAGTGTAGGTTGTGGGAGTTCAGGTTGGCAAGCGCCTGAGCAACTTCGTCATGAACGTCAGACACGAGCAGTAGATTTATTTGGTTTAGGCTGTGTGCTCTTTTTCTGCCTTACTGGGGGTCAACATCCATTTGGTGACAGTTTTGAACGTGATTTAAATATTGTGAACAACCAGAAAGACCTCTTCTTGATAGATAATATTCCAGAAGCTATGGACCTTATCAGTCACCTCTTAGATCCAGACCCAAATTTGAGGTATGCCATTAGCTCATGTAATTTTCCACATCCCACACAAACAGGCCCATGCACCGTCATGAATGCATTAAGCATTGTTGTTTCAATGTATTTCATGTATACTCTGCTTAAGAGGCCATTTTTTTTAATTAAAAATAAATAAATTACAAGCATAGTTTTTCATTTTCTTCCGTATGTGATGAATATCAATGTATATGCTGTCTAGGCCAAAAGCTGTGGATGTATTGCATCATCCTTTGTTTTGGAATGCTGAGATGCGACTCTCATTTCTTCGAGATGCTAGTGATCGGGTAGAATTGGAAGATAGGGAGAGTGAATCTGAACTCTTAAATGCATTGGAAAGCATTGCACCTGTGGCTTTGGGTGGTAAATGGGACGAAAAGATGGAAAGTGCATTCATCAGTGATATTGGCCGCTACAGACGTTATATGTTTGACAGTGTTCGTGACTTGTTGCGGGTCATCCGCAACAAATTAAATCACTATAGGGAACTTCCTCAAGAAATTCAGAGAATTTTAGGGCAGATTCCTGAAGGATTTGACAGCTATTTCTCAAGCCGATTTCCACAACTTCTAATTGAAGTTTATAAAGTCATTCACAGTTATTGTGGGGAGGAAGAATTCTTGCACAAGTATTTTAGAAGCAATCAAACTTGACTTCTCTGTTGTTCTTTCGTAGTTAACAAGATACTAGCTTCTGTAAATATTAAATTTTACCAAGTTGTGAGTGATAAACATGTAAATTTGTTGAGTAATGGTCACACGTATTATTGTTAGCCCTTTTGTCTCTTGTTCCAATTGTGTTCATCATCTTTTTGGAGATTTTACCACTATCATTGGGCCTCCTCTCTTAAGTACATCTGATTCAGTTCCATTAGGGTTTTGAATTACGGTGAAAAAGTGACAGCACCATTTTGCTGAAAAAGTGAGAACAGATATATGTAATGAGGGAAGAAACTTGGAAGAAATAAGTTGGCCCAGTTTTAAACACTCAAAACATAATGCCAGGAGTTGCAACGGTGGCTTGATCGTAGATTGATTGTAGACTGCTTAACAGAGTATTCCTGTACCTGAGCAACAGGCATGCTATGGTTTGGTAAGTTTTCCAGAAATTTTACTCTGAATTTTGCATTTTGTTTAGATTAGCTACCTCTATTATGCCTTTTTATTTTAATTTTTTCTGCTGTAGACTGGTTCTTTAGTTCTGCTGCAGATTCAACCACTTCGATTGTGTTTTTGCAGATATAATTGGGAGAGGTTTGGTTCAAAAGAATTGTTGACTGATTCCAAGTGAACTCATCAGAGCTGAAACAGTCTTTGAAAAATGCAATGTTACTGATGTCTGTAGAACGCATGGATGTCATGTGGTTCAGCCGTCAGGTATTTAACACTGTACCTCTCGACGCCTGTCTTGATTAGGACAACAAACTGATTTTGAATATTTTGTTCTGAGTAATGGAATTAGAACAATAAAATTTTGTCATGTATTGCTGAATAATCCTCACTTACTGTTAGCAAAAATCTGATTTAGGTCAAATCGACAGAGAAGATTTGACAGAGAAACCAAAATTTTCACAAACAACAAACAGATCAAGCAATTGTGGTTGATATCCTATGCCTTGACAGATTCAATGACTCTTTTGGAGGTGATCGATAGAAAGGAACAAACTAAAAATTGATATAGCATTGCTGAAATTGTTACTTGTTACAGAGATTTGAACAAGAACAAAAACAAAAATACAAAAGAATCAGAAAAAAAAATTTACTGATTACAATAACTAAAAAACGATCACAGAACCATTAAATTAAAACTACTCCTAAAGGAAATAAACTACTCCTATGCTAGAAGCTATCTATTTCTAATTAAACTCATGTGGAGTTGTGTTGATAATTCCTCTCTTACTGTTCGTTTTTTTCTAATCAAATTTATAGGCATTGATCTTTGAGTAATTGCACCAAGGCAGTTTTCCAATCCATATGCACAGTTAATAGAAATTACAACCCCCTCATTTGTGACACACGTTGTACCACCTACTAGCCCACTATTTGCAAAGTTGTCGTGTGTATCCTGCATTTCAATAAAACAAACAAAAACAATAATAATAATAATAATAATAATATTATGAAATATAAATATATATGTGGCTATAATTTTATGTTAAAAATAATTTATATTCTAAATCGACAGATCAAAATTGAGAGACCACAATCAATAAAATTAGACTTTGTCATTATCGACAAATCATCATAAATTAAACGGGATTTAGCCATAATAAACAAATTATAATAGCCAGAAAATTATTTTTTTTTGGTGCCAACACTTATCTTTCATGTCTTTTACAAATTCAGTGGCAATACATCAGATCAGATTATATCAAAAATTTAATACTCAAATATTAAAAAAAGCGGCTTTTGAGCCTTTAATCTGGAGGTACATGGCCAGAGCAATAAGTCAGGGTGGGCCTCCTCACCTGTTCAATTCAGTATGTGATTGACTTGATACGAACCCAAGGGCAAGATGGGGTTTTGATTTTGCGGATATTACCTGTAAGTAATTGTAAGCCAGCCCAGCCCTGAACCTTTTCAAACCTAGCAGGAGTTATATTCAAATATCCAATAATTATGTCTGCATTTTAGGGACATTGGCATCTGTTGGAAAAGATTCATTTGATCATTCATTCACACCCCAAACTCATTTCACTAGTTTGAGTTTAGCACGGTGTTGAGGTATAGAGTAATTCTGTGATTGGGCGGTTCGGTCTGATTAACCCATCCAACCCCAATCTAACCTTCTTAGTTACTAGTTATCTTATATATGAGGGTGTTCATGTTTTGGGTTTGAGGCAAATCAAGAATCAGGCTGGACTTTACAGTTCCTGAGGAAAAAAATTGGGTTAGATTTAAAAACATTTGAATTGAGAAATTCAACAATAGTAATCCCAGTTACATTTGGGAGAATTCGGTGCCAAATAATTGTTAATTTTTTTTTTTAACCAACTTTAAATTTAAAGAGCTTCGTATGGAGTTTGTTGAATTTTTCTTATTCCTTTCATATTATAAATTAGCAAAAAAATTCCAATACCTAAGCGTATATCAAAACTTAATGAGTAAAATGTGATATAAAAATTTAACGAGTAAAATGTGATATAAAAAATAAATAAACAAAGGAAGGATGGGAAGTAATGGGATGTTTGAGAACGAAGGTTAGAGGCTAAAATTTATGAAAAGATAAAATATATTAAAATAATTAATAAAATAAAATATCACATAAAATTTTCAAACGAGGCGAATATGTCAAACAACTTTTTCTTTTCCCTCTCGGCGTCCTCAGAATAAAAAGTGCAAGATAAATTCAAATAAAAGTGACTTTTTTCACTATTTGATCAATTGATTGGTTCGGTGCAAATCATCCCCACTTTCAAGCGGACTTTGGGCTTGATTATCATTTTTCGCACAATTTTAAATCATCGGAATTTGTAATCGAATTTTTTTTCTCTCATATAGTTTTAATAATGGTATATATTTTATATTTTTTTCAAAAGAAAACGACCTTTGAAATATTTCATCAGATCTTTAACAATTTTTACCTAACATTTTAAGTTTCATTATTTTTTAAATATGATAAATTTTATACATATACATGACTTTTGTTATACAAATACATGCAATAAATGAAATAGGAAATAATACGGTGAGATAAATTTAATAATAAATAACAAATTTTAAAATATGATAAATTTAAATAGGAAATCATAAATAAAAGATGAAAATATCTAATTTAATAGTAATTTTATTTACATACCATCAATCCTCTTATTATGGATATATTATTTAACCATTAAATTTATATGACAATAATATCTTCAAGTAAAATGACTATTAAAATGTAATTATCTCTATACGCATCATCACTTAGAACAAATCCCTTTTGTATTATTTTCCAAACTCAAAATATTATTGTTTTTGGAAGATTTAGAGTTTTAAAATATTAAAATAAATTGATTTGAAAGATTTACATATCTTAAATGATATTGATTTGGAACAAGATAGTAATGAAAATATCAGTTTACTTTGTTATTTATCTTGTTCGTATTGATTTGGAACGAAATATCGTTGTTCATCTTTACAGCAATGACTTATTTGTCTCATGCTCATGCAGAGTTGAACATTTACAAAATGTTCAATTATTTATATTTGAATAGAATCATTAAAGTTGAACAAGCATTAAAGATTCATACATAAAAAACTGAACATTTGGGTTTAGCTCGAATATAAATTTGTGAACATATTAAGTTTTTTTTACACTGCATTTATGAATAATACTAAAATTATTTTTTTGATTTAAATTTTTGTAGAATACCACTGATTGTTTCGTTGCCATAAAATTTCAGTCCGCTATTTGGTTCTCGCCGTTTACTCTCACGTTGCTTCCATAGATTCAACACAAATGAGAAAGAGACACACATATGAATATAAAATTATTGTGAATTATATTTTGGACTTTATTCAGTGTGTTTGGTTTGAGTTTTTTGGATTAAGATTTTTGAAAATTCAATTTTTTGGTTTTCGTATTTTTTTGTTTTTAGTAAATATTTTTAAAATTTTAAACATTTTTTTTTACTTTTTTAGATGCACCTTACTTGGATATATCTAAAAAGTAAAAAAATTGTGAAAAAATATTTTAAAATTTTAATAAATACATAAAAATATAGAAAATGTACTGAATTCTTGTATTTTTTTTGTATTTTTAGTATTTGATGAATTTTTAAAAGGTTTTTCTCACAATTTTTTTACTTTTTAGGTATATTTATGTTAGGTATGTCTAAAAAGTAAAAAAAAAAAAATTGCTTAAAATATTAAAAAAAAATTAGTAAAAACAAAAAAAACACGGAAAACAAGAAAGTAGAATTTTCTGAAAAGTGTTTTTGAAAAAACACAACCAAGCAAGCTGATTGTTTTTTTAACTTTGATGGTGTGTATATTATCTTGTGTTAGGGTGTATATATTGTGTTGTGTAGGTTAGGTTCGAAGAATAATCAGCTTGCTTGGTTCCCATTTTCTAAAAACAGTTTTCAGAAAATTTTACTTTCTTAGTTTTTGTATTTTTTTGTTTTTACTGAATTTTTTTAATATTTTATGTAAATTTTTTACTTTTTAGATACACCTAACATAAATACACCTAAAAAGTAAAAAAATTATAAAAAAAATCTTTTAAAAATTCACTAAATACCAAAAATACAAAAAAATACAAGAATTCAATACATTTTTTATATTTTTATGTATTTATTAATTTTTTAAAATAATTTTTCATAAATTTTTTATTTTTTAGATACATCTAAATAAGGTGCATCTAAAAAAATAAAAAAAATATTTAAAATTTAAAAAATATTCACTAAAAATAAAAATATATAAAAATTAAAAAAATTAATTTTTAAAAAACTTAATTCAAAAAATACAGACCAAACACAATGATTATTGATGTGAAGTAAGTAATGCCATATACTAAAAAGATTGATGGTGTCTCAATACAACCCCTCTAAGAGCATCTCCAACCCATTAGGCATATAATGCTTGTTAGTCAAAATGCCTAATGTAACTCACTTTTTTCAACTCCAATGCACTAGGCATATGATTAGGCATTTTAGCTCAGTTCACATTCACTAGCTACATGTAGCTAGCCTTCAAGGCTAGGCAAAATGTATTTAATCATTAGGATTATTTCCCTCCATCTTTGTTGTTGACGTGGCATTCTACAAAGTTAATAGTATTTGGATGAATAGCTAAAATAAAGAGCATGGTTGGAGTAGAAACATGAAACAGTTGATAGGCAAAATAAAATGTATACTTTATAGTAATATTTAAATAGGTAAAATGCCTACTACCGTTGGAGATGCTCTAACCTAATGATATAATTCCCTCAATTATTTGTTGACCCTTAAAATCAAGACCCGACGTCATTGGTGCAACCCGGTCTGGCTGTCCAGCTATAAGTAGAGACTATTGAATTGACGAGGGCCAGACCCATGTAATCAAACAAAAACCAGTGGCTTCTATCCTCCAAAAAGCAATATGTAAAAACAAACTCACTCACTCACTCAACCAAACCTTACTCCTTCACACAAACACTCGGACCAAAAATGGCTGCAACACACCTCAAACAACTCTTGGTAATGCCACCATTGCTACTCATCCTCCTCCTCTTCTTCCTGCTCAGCCCTTTTGGCTGCGTTTCGGGTGTCGGAATAAACTACGGTACCCTTGGAAACAACCTCCCTTCGCCAAAGAGAGTAGCTCAGCTCCTCCAATCCACCATCATCGACAAGGTCAAGATCTACGACTCCAACCCTGAAATCCTCGAAGCCTTTTCCAACACCGGCATTGATCTCATCGTTGCCGTCGAAAACTACCACGTGTCTAACATCAGTGCCACCACTTCCGCCGCCGACGAGTGGTTCTCCACCCGCATACTCCCCTTCATTCCGGCAACCTCCGTCGTCGCCATCGCTGTCGGCAACGAGTACTTAACCACCGACACTGATCACTTGGACCCCAAAGACCTAGTCCAGGCCATGCAAAACCTACATGAGGTGTTGGTATCACGTGGATTGGACCGTAAAATCAAGGTCACAACGCCACACAGCATGGCTGTTCTTGCTTCTTCGTTTCCACCTTCGGCTTCCACATTCGCCATGAACTTCATCCCTACCATGACCTCCATTGTAGACTTCCTAGCCGGCACAGGTGCACCTTTCATGGTGAATGCATACCCATATTTTGCCTACAGAGACAACCCCAACACCATCAATCTCCAGTACGCATTGCTAGGCAATGCCACCACCGGAGTCCGTGACCCCAAGGGATACATGTACACCAACATGTTGGACGCACAAATAGACTCCGTTCGAGCCGCCATCTCCGCCCTCGGATTCGGAAATCAAACAATCCAAATAACGGTCTCCGAATCCGGGTGGCCCTCAAAAGGGGACTCCAGCGAAAAAACCGCCACGCCGGAAAACGCAAAGACTTACAATACTAGACTCATCGAACGAGCCCAGTCCAACAAAGGGACTCCCATGAGGCCCAAAGACAACATAGAGATATTCGTGTTTGCTCTGTTCAATGAGAACAAGAAAAAGGGAGGTGACAGTGAGAGGAACTTTGGGATTTTTAATGGGGATGGTTCAAAGGTATATGACGTGGATCTGAGCTGTGAGTTTTGCAGCGGTGGTGGTGGGAAGCTAGGGTTTGGGGAGAAAGTGTCGGGTGCGGCGAGGGGGCCGTCAGTGTGGTGCGTGGCGAAGCCGCATGCGGACGAGAAGGTGGTTCAGTCGGTATTGGATTTCTGCTGCGGGCCGGGGGGTGTGGACTGTAGGGAGATCTATGAGAGTGGGAATTGTTATGAGCCGGATAAGATTCATGCGCATGCATCCTACGCCATGAATGCTTATTATCAGATGCATGGGAGGAACTACTGGAACTGTGATTTCAAGTCCGTTGGCCTTGTTACCTTCAGTGATCCAAGTAAGTAATACTCCTACTAACTAACTAGGCTACCTACTACATTAATCACATTTCTCTTCGTTCTTCCCCCTCTAGTCATTGTTTGCAAGTTTGGTATTCTAATTCATTCACAATCATTTGATTATTTCGAGTAAATTGGAACAAGGGAATAAGAATTTTTAGAACAACGGATCGGTCTGTGATAAATGTTATTGTCATTCCATTTGTACTAACCAATGAATGATTCTATATCCTTAAATCCTTCTAATTTATTGTTTCAAAACACTTATAATCATTAGATTATATGAGAATTTTGAGACATAATTTAATTATTGTAAGTATTTTTGAAATGAAATGAAATGATATAGGATTCTATGTCATTGATGCTTGATCATTCATTTAATTTGGCCGAGAAACAATCTCCAAAATTAATATCCCTCTTTGTTCTCAATACGCTCTTAAGATGTGAGAATTTTAAAATATAAACATCTGCAGATATGATCTTGTGATTAAGAATGCATTAGAACCAAAGACAATAATCTTATAAAGAGAGGAATTTGTGTTTTTTAATTTATAGTTTTGGGTATATGAATGTTTTATATTATGTTATGGACTCATAAATGCATCATATTCTTGTTAATTAGCAGCAAATTGAGTTTAATTTTTTTATATTTTAAACACCCGGTTTAAATTGTGATCAGGTTATGGAACATGCCGGTACTCCGAACAGTAGTAAACACACCGAAAGATGAAAGAGACAGAGAAGTAGTTCAATAATGTGGTTGACAGCTCTTTGGTTTATGTCTGATTGTACTACTAATGCGTGGGCTTGTTTACACTTTTCAGACCCTAAATTTCTTTACCACACCACCCCCAATTATTACAAAATGTCAAAGGGATCTTCTGTTAAGGATTTTGAATGTTAGTTTGGTTTGTCCTTGTCCAGCAAATGAGCATAAAACCCTTCTTCTTTTTTTTTTATCTTTTTTTTTTTCTCTTGGGAGAAGATAAAGATAAAGATAAAGATAAAGATAAAGATGAGCAGAAGATGTACATGATGATAAAAATTGAACATCTCCGTGATCAAAGGCTGTTTTTGTGGTCTGAAAAAAGTGCTTACTCCTCCTTTCCACCAAAAGGGTAAGAGAGATAAGTTTTTATTATTTTTATTGACTTTAGTCCTTTTACCTGTTCTTTCTCATAGCAAATAATACCAAGAAGCAATTTCTTCTTTCTGCAACAATAACAAATATTAAATATAACGGTAACCCTATCTTACATGCTTTCCCTCTTGGATGAACCATCTGATTTTTAACCCGAGTCTAGGGATGAATTGTGTTTTGTGGTAAAGAAAAGATGACCACAGTTAAAAGTGTGATCACTCTCAATTGCAAAACCAGTCATGTGTAAAATTAAAAGAGGCCTAAGTTGTGGCAAAAGTTCAGTCAGTGAGTACCCCTATTTTGGAAAATATCAGCACACCGGTTTGCTTATCAGGAGACTCCCCGGTAGGTCGTGTTATTGTATCGTTTTAGATCCCTCTATTTTTTCTTGCAAACAATCCCGGAAACGAAGCCAACAACAACCCCGTGCATTTACCCTCATTTGACTAAGGCAAAGCGTGGAACAGTTTGTCTCCCCAATGTGCAAAACTAATAATAGGAAACCAACCGTAATGAAAATGGTAAGCAAGAATCTCATCTCTGACCATTAGAAAAACATGGGATGCAAATGAAATTTTCCTACATTAGAGGTTTTAACATTCAAGCATATATAGAATTCAGAATTGTTGTAAACAATCAGCATTTAGTTCAGGCTTCAAGAAAGCTAATCAAGTCAGTTCCATACAACATTTCGTTGATTTTTCCAAGTTATCAACTGAATCCCTTTGCATAAAAACTATAATTAATATAATATTCTTTAGAAAACTGCTCCTCTTTATGTTAACAATTAGTTTCAGGAAAATATAAAATAGGGATGATCTATTCACTGTCTTCAATTGATTGGATAATGTCACTCATTCTCTGGATAATTGTGTTTTTCAAATCGCCTTCACAATTCATTCTCGGACGATGATCTCTCAATCTTTCTTCTCTTAGGCTCGCTTTTTGACGGGTCTTGCTTCTCGTCAATTAATGACAATAGCGTCTTGAGACGTCTGATGCGTGGGCGTGAACTTCCCTCACCATTTGAAACTGATTCAGTTTGTGCAGTGCGGTAAAACTTACGCATGATCTGGAAGAAGTATATGGCGAGAGAAACCAAGCAAGTGCTCCCAAATATGAGAAACAGGCCCAAGAAGCTCTTCAGGTGAAGTTGCTCTGATTCAATCTGAGAGTTGTCTGAGCTACAAGCTGTGCTCATCAACCACTTGTCATGGATCCGTTGTAGATCCCCACTTTCAGAAAGTGTTAAAATTGCTGTTGATAGGTCAACAGCCAAAGGAGAGTCCCGTGGAAATGCCTAAAAATTTACATCGAACAACAATATTCATTCATCAAAATACAAAGGAAAAGTAACAGAAACAAAATTCAAGCCATGAATGCAGAAAACTTTAATTTCTTTTATTTTGGACAAAAAAAAGAAAAGAAAAGAAAAGAAAAGAAGAGAATACCCCTTTTTCTTCCTACAGAAAAGATTATCAGATATAGTTCCATGAAACACATAACACGATGTTGGGGATGTATAGTTGCATACAATATTTTACATGAATTTGACATATACAACTCAGAGACTAGATGAGTCACTTTGTCTTGTTTCGTTGTGATCAAATGAGTCTACTTACTTCTCTCAACACTTTTTCAAATGTGAGCACCTGATGAAAACATGATTGCCTTTCTTTCAATGATTTGATTATCAGATATATTAAGGGCTCTATATGATGTACTAAAATCATAGAAATTATATTTTTGCTTTAAAACGCCATGTCAACATTCCCCTACTCTAATGAACTTGTTTTCTGAACAAGAACTGAAGCAACCTAGTAATATAGATGCTCAGCAGACAGATATAAAGATATATATATATATAGAGAGAGAGAGAGAGAGAGAGGCAGAGAGGGAGAGAAGAATGTGATGTAGATACTCACAAAACCCCAGCCACTTTTGGTGAACTCTTGACCAACAATCCTGAATGTGCACTGGCTTGACAAGAAAAGCTCTATATATGGTCGTTCATCAACCACAGCAGCAACACCGCCCTTTTTAGGGCCACGTTGGAGCGCCACAGCATATTCTTCTGGCGATCCAAGGGCGACTAGCCTAGATTTAGGTATACCAATTTCCTCAATCAAATAATTCTCGGCAAAAGAACCCACTTGGTATCCAACAGGATCACTGCTTGTTTTCAAGGTTTCAATACCTTTAATAGGAGAAGATAACTGTTGCACGGTGAGGATTGAGGTCAAACTTGCGGTATAACTAGAGTTGATTATCAGGACCACAAAGAGCCATATAAATAACACTATACGACCCAGGGTGCTCACTGTGTTCTCTCCTGCATAAAAGATGTAGCTAAACTAATTAATATTATTGCTTCAAAGCAACATCATAATCATAATTATCCATTATAGTTGAAGTTTCACTTACTGTGGGCAAAAAACAAGGTTGAGAGGCTAAACCTGCAAATAAAGAAAACAAAAAGATCATCAAACACTGGTCATTTTTAAAAGGGGAAATATTTTTTCCTACTAAAGAGTGGAATGATCAGTGTCACCAGATGATGCATCATGGAATTATAAAAAAAAAAAAAACTACATCCCATTTTCCAATCATACAATTTGAAATAAAATAAACCATAATCACTCTCACTTGTCATAAATTGTACGATCATTCATGTTTGTTCAACTTTGTAACTTCTTCCAAGAGCACCACAAAAAACCGGTCAATGGCACATTTAGCAACTACAGCAGTTAAGCAAAATGCATGGAAAGGTTTTAATTTTCATCTTGGCTAGTAGTGCTCTGCTACATATACAGAACGTGAAGTGACAATCAACCTCCCCTGTAATTTCTGTTTTGAGTTTTTGGAAATAGAAACATATCCAAACGACCTCGTACGTGCTTCCATTTAGATTTCAAAGAATCCTGATCTGTATTTAGGAAGTTCAAGTGGAGCACTGCTATAGAGAAGCTAGTGGATGTGTGGATGTGCTGACAGAACAGGCAATTGGCAGTTCATTCTCAGGGCATGCATGATATATAAACATACTTGTATAAAATATCATCAGACAAACAAAAAAATACCCTTAATTCATTTGTATCTTAATGTGACAAATGCATGGCAATTGGCAGCTCATTCTCGGGGCATGCATGATAACCCAAAACACCTCAAGTATTTCCATGTCACTAGTTTATGAATAAGAGAAATCGAAAGGGTGAGCACAATCAACTTCCTTATGGTTTGCGCTGATCAACTCCCGTAACAATCAAAGTTCCTTACATGTTGCGATCACGTGATAGATTATCCTACGGGAACTCTAAATTTAGAACTTATTATGGACTTAAATAACAAACAAGTAAAGACTAAATTGTTGACAGAAATTAGCTATGTACGACTTCGCATGTTCCAATGTAAAACTTACCAGAGTATGGTTATAAGCTGTTTCCTAGGCGGCCCCCTGAACTCATCGTTTATACGATGCTCGAGAATCCACACAACTGTCCCCACAACAATGAAACAACCAGCAGTGACACCCCACATTATTGGAGTAAATGGGAGCGAGAAAGCCCAAGCACCAGTGTTCAACTTCTTAAATGGGGCCACTACAAGAAGTCCGGAAGCAGCATATGGCTGTGTGAAATCCACAATCTTTGTCCTGTTCATGACAATGGCAATGTCACCAACAGCGCCATCAAAAAACTGTGACAAGGAGATAAATAAACAAATAATTAGCCACCCACAAACTTTGTGTTACTTTGAACAGCAAATAAAATCTTTGACCAAAATAAAAAACAGTAAACAATGTGTTTTTCTGTGAACTTACACCCGTTGTGATCAAATGCACAAGCTCTGAGTAGCTTGGGTTTTTCTTTCCATCTCCAAAGGAGACAAATTCATATGGAACAGCATACGGTAACAGGTTGACAGCAGCTGTAAATACATCTATGCAGAACCCTTTAAAAGTATTATTAGTGCCTCGCACTTGTGATACAAATTCCCGGTAACTCACTCGATTAGGTACCCCAATTCTCAATTGCTTCCCATTGTTTGGGAAAACCCATCCACGTGGTTTCATCGTTGTATCCCCAGGCCAAATAACACTAAATAGATGTTGGTTTGCACTCGAACGATTAGGTGGCGTTGAGTAAAGCGTCTCAGGAGGCACAGTTGATAATCCGGAATAGTTAGACCAGTAACCAATCTGTCTAAACGCATTCCCAAGCACATTAATAACATCATATGCAGGAAGAATTAGACTCCTGTCAGGATTAAACTTGATTGGACCTGTCAAACCGACTAGATTGTGTAAACTGTAATCAAACCCAAAAAGACAGAGTGCTCCTCCATCAAAAATACCCATTGCATCAAGATGAAGATTACTTGTTTTAACAGAACGCAGCTTCGAATCATTGGAAAATGAAATAATCCCTCCCTGATTGAAAAATGAATCAATAGCATGGGCAAGCAGCCAAATAGTATCATAAGCATAAAGTCCATAAGAATGTAGCCCAAAAGAGCCACCGGCCAGTTTGTTCCATCTAGAGAAGAAAGATCTCTTTTTATCTGAATCTGGCGTGTGTGTACGCAAAACAATAACTCCTTGCAATGTGTCCATGGTCTCAGATGGAAGAGGCAAAGAAGAATCTAAAACGGAAGAAAGCCAATCAGTAGCTATCCAAACATACCCACTACCCATCAATCCAAGATAGTGAGCCACAGAAAATACCATGAAACCCGAATCAGGATTTGCGTGCAAAACGATAACTCGAGACTCCAATAATGCAACCTTAACAAGGATGTTGGTTATGTCACCACGACTAACCCCAGACCCTGGGGGAATTCCAACCTTGTAGGACACTTTACAGCGCCTAGCTGCAAGTGCATCATCTAATGCTGACACACCATTCCTTCCGTAATCATCATCAATAAATATTGCAATAACTTCCTTCCAACCATAATAATCAACTATTTCAGCTATTGCATTCATCTGATACAAATCGCTTCGAGTCGTCCTAACAAAATAGGGAAACTGAAGAGAAGATAGAGTGGGGTCCGTAGCTGCAAATGACAACATGGGAACTTGGAGTTCATTTGCAACATTTGATATTATATGGGCAACTACAGAAGATTGTGGACCTATAATTGCAACAACATCAGTCTCCATGAATTGCAAAGCTGCAAACAATAACCAGTTATTAGCTTATCTACCGGAGAATGGTTGACTCTTCTAAAACACAGTTCCTGAATAAAATTAAAATACAAGGAAACAAGTATGCTCTATTTAGTTGCTAAGAAAATGTGGGAGAACCAAAAGCATAACAACAATAATAATAAAATTACTCTTTGCTTGGGAGTTGAGCAAACCAAAACCTCCATTCAAAAAGCCAAATTCTACTATTTGGTTTTAGTTGGGGCCACCTTTTCTAAATATTGAATAGCATAAAACATAGAGAAATATAGAATTGAATGTTCTTCCCATTCCCTAACTTCTCTCAACAACCGACCAGGGTAGTAGCCCAAGTGGTCTTGAGAGAGCACTTTAGTGCTAGTGTGAAACCTCATGTTCAAATCTATGGAGATATGGAGAGATGTGACCTACGTAATAATCAAACTGCTAAATTGCTAACATCCAAAGGGGACAAAAAAAATTTTAAAAAAATAAAAACTTCTCTCAGCAACCAATAGAGGGTAATTGAAGTTTGGGGAAAAACAGAGTAAAATAAAGTACCTCCAATCAGGCCAAGGAACCCACTGCAATTGGAATCTTGCATCCGTAGCACAAGTTTGGTTCCAGGGAGAACACTAGCATTGGAGTTCACGTCTTTCACAGCCTCCTCAATTGCAATCTTGGCCACTCTACCAATGGTGGATTTAAATGTGAAAATAGCTCCAATATTCACAACAGCAGGTCTTGAAGAAGCATTCCCACTAAACCCATTTGCAAAAATGCCAACAAGGAGCAACAGCAATGAAAGAATCCAAATCATACTCATTTTAGATGGGTAGCTCTGATATCTTTGTACCCTCAAAATGAATCAAATCACCTGCTTCGGAAGAGAATTCTTTGCATAATTGATTCATGGGTTTGGGGAATTTGAAAGAGCCATTACTTTCAACAAACATGTAAGATACAACAGTGAAATCATTCAAAGAACTATATTAAAATGATAGAAAATGAAGGAAACAAATGTAACCCAAAAACAGACTGAAGCTAAAAGAAAAAGGAAGAAAAAGAAAAAGGGAAAACGCCGAACAACAGCAGAAACAAGAATCAGATTCTCTTCTTAAAGTAAAAATTCAAAGAGCCATTAAAATACCCACCATTGGTTAAAGGATAGAATCAAGCATATTATGTCTTCAAGAAGCACAGAACAGAAACCCAACAGAAAAAGAAGGAACAATCTTGATGCCAAAGATAAGATGGAGGCAAATAGAGTGATGATGTGAATCACGCGGTTTTGTGGTGTAAACTGTAATCAAACCCAAAAAGACAAAGAAGCTCAAAGAGAGAATATAAAAATAAAAATCTGAAAGTAAGTTCATGATTCACATTGTAAAAATGGGTTGAAATTGATTGGGGAAGTAGGATTTTCACTCTCAAGAACACAGAAAACGAAAACTAAAAATCCACCTTAGTGAGAGAGAGTCAGTTTGCAGTTATACTAGCGGGCTGGCTGCGTGTTCAATTTAAATAATTTAAATAAATAAAATATTTACTATATTTTGTGTGTATTGTGAAAAATTTCTTCTGACTCAAAGTCTAAGATTCAATTGGTGAGTGAGATAGGTGTTCACTGAAAAAATTGAATATTTTTGTAAAATAAATTAAAAACAAAAAATATTAAAACAAAGAATCTTGGTGAAATAAATTGCAGAGATGGCAACAAATGACTGACTAGTGACATCGCATGCAAATATTGGGCGTTTCCAACTTTGGGAAAAGAACAAGAGGGTGTGAATGATAGTTGACAAAGCTGCAGATTTTAAAAGTTTTACTCAAATTTTTATTAAATTTTTTATACGGGTGTTTTATATGAATTTCGGTGTGGGCTAATTTGTGAATTATTAAAAAAAATTGTAAAACTATAAAAGCATAAGATTTTATTTTTGTATCATAATATAAATTCTACATACACTTTCATATTTTTAATTTTAATTATTTCTAATAATTTGTAATTTTCTCTATAATTTAAGTTTATAGTTAGTCAGACTTGCATTTAGTGTAAATATTATATGATAGATTTATTTTTAAAATAATATTATAATTCTAAGCCTTTATTTGGTATGTATTTGAAATTTTAATTTCAAGGGTTCATACTTTTTAACATTAACCACATAACTAAACATTACTATAAAATTTTTAAAATTATGCAATCCACCGCCGTCTGTTGGCACAAGTAACCAGTAAGTCTATCAATATAACCCAAAAATTTAAATTAATAAGAGATAGCTTACACCTTTTAAAGAGATTTGAATGATAGATTTTCCCTTCAACAGTCATAAGATATGCAGTCTATACAGAGATGTAATATACTGGGCCAACACACCAACAATATCCAAATTTTGGGTCCAACTAAAAGGCATGATATGGGGTCATTCAACTAGGCCCATTTATAAGCATTGGCCCCCAAAACAAGAAAGACATGTGTACTGTATAATTGCTCTCAGAATGGTTCAGCTCTTAGGGCACCCACGATGGGATGGCTAAAAAAATGTATTAAGGCGTATGTTATATGACAAAAAGTAATAAAAGTAGGGTCCAAAAATATTTGTTAAGATGTGTTAAGAGTTTGTTAATTTTAGAGAGTGCGTTGTGGTACAATGGATGTGTTAAGGGGTGTGTTAAGATGTATGTTAAATATATATATATGTGTATATATAATAAATAAAATAAATAAATAATTTAGTTTAATCAAAAATTTCAAGCCAAAAATTAAATTTCAAGTTCAAAAAAAAAAAATCCCAACATGTAACAAAAAAAAAAAAAAAATTTGTCGTTGACCAGTCAACTGGTAACACAAACACACGCTTCCTTTCACTAGCTAAAACGCTAACCACAATTAACAAAGAACTTAACAACTGAAACTAACAAAACCCACTAACACATTACTTAATACTTCCATTGTGACATCCAAACATTACTGTAGTTAGCTAAAATTTGGCCACTGACACTAACACCACCACTAACACGTCCATTGTGGATGCTCTTAGGGCATCCACAATGGGATGGTTAAAAAAGTATATTAAGGTGTGTGTTATATGACAAAAAGTAATAGAAGTGAGGCCAAAAAATGTTTGTTAAGATATGTTAAGAGTTTGTTAATTTTAGAGAGTGAGCGGTGGTGCAATGGATGTGTTAATATGTGTGTTAAATATATATATATATGTGTGTGTGTGTGTGTGTACATAATAAATAAAATAAATAAATAATTTAGTTTAATCAAGAATTTCAAACCCAAAATTAAATTTCAAGTCCAAAAAAAATCCCAACAAGTAAAAAAAAAAAATAAAATAAATAAAAATAATTGCAGTTGACCGGCCAACCGGTAAGACCACAAACACACTCCTCTCCATTAACTAAAACCATCTCTGCAAATAACAAACAAGTTAACACAAGTTAACAACTGACAGCTTTAATAGACATACTAGCAGCTCCACTGTGAGAGCAAAAATAGAAAATGGCTAGCTAAAAAATAACAGCTGGCACTAACACATGCTTTAACAGCTCCACTGTGGATGCTCTTAGGGCATCCACAATAGGATGGCTAAAAAAGTATATTAAGAGCATCTCCAATGGTGAATCAGATTTTTCATCAAATCTGAGTCAAAAATGACTTATTTCACCAAATCTGGTACCAGATGTTCCAACGGTTCACCTTTTACCAAATCTGTCCCGGGACAACCGGCTAGTCGACCGGTGAGTGAAATTTTTTTTTTTTTTTGAATTGTCTAAACCGTTTTTATTGAATTTTCTGAACTTTTTCCAGGACGACCGGGTGGTCGACCGGCCGGTTGACGGGTTAGGGAAAAATTTTTTTGAACTGTTTGAACTTTTTTTTGAACTGTTTGAATTTTTTATTAGTTGACTGGTTGGTCAACCGGTTGGTATCACCCAAACGGTCAGTAACAGTGATTTGGTGAAATGCTTCGCATGTTCTCAGTTTGATGAAATGTTTGGTGAAATCTCATTTTGATATCGATTTGGTGCAACCGTTGGAGCATCAAACAGTAACTTTTTCACCAATTTTTAAATTTGATGCTGGGTTTGATGAACCGTTGGAGATGGTCTAAGGTGTGTGTTATATGACAAAAAGTAATAGAAATGGGACCCAAAAATATTTGTTAAGATGTGTTAATAGTTTGTTAATTTTAGAGAGTGAGTGGTGGTGCAATGGATATGTTAAGGAGTATGTTAAGATGTGTGTTAAATATATAGGAAACTTATTTATAAGTCCTATTAGGAAAACTTATGCTATATATGGTTCTACTTAAAAACTTATGTTTCCATAAGTCCTGTAGAAAAATTGTTGACACATTTACCCTTAATATTAGTTGTTAATATCATAAATAATAGTAAAACCATATATAGGAAATTAAATGTTACTATAAATCATATTTATATAAACGTAACGTAACGTGACACCTACATAAATGTAACGTGACACCTATGAATTATGGTAACATGAAATTTCCTATAAAGAAATTTCATGTTACCATAGATCATATCTATATAAACGTAACGCAACGTGACACCTACATAAACGTAACGTGACACCTATATAAACGTAACGTGACACGTGACACCTACATAAATGTAACGTGACACCTATGATCTATGGTAACATGAAATTTTCTATAAGAAATTGCATGTTACCATAGATCATATCTATATAAATGTAACACAACGTGACACCTACATAAACGTAACGTGACACCTATGATCTATGGTAACATTCAATTTCGTATATAGGAAATTGAATGTTACCATAGATCATATCTACATAAACGTAATGTAACGTGACATCTACATATACGTAACGTGACACCTATGATCTATAGTAACATTCAATTTCCTATATAGGAAATTAAATGTTAATATAGATCATATTTATATGAAACGTAACGTGACACCAACACAAACCAGCAACATTTTCACGTTCAATTTAAAAAAATAAAAGCTCATTAAGTTTGCGAAACATAACGTGACATGTTACGTTACGTTTATGTAGGTGTCGCGTTATGTTACGTTTATATAGGTGTCACGTTACGTTACGTTTATGTAGGTGTTACGTTACGTTTATGTAAGTGTCACGTCACGTTACGTTTATGTAGGATCTTGTGGAATACATTTCTATCTAAATAGAATTTGAGACTCTATAAGAAATTACACAAAACTTAACCTACTATAAATGTCTGAAAAATGACTTATAAATAAGTCTCCCTAAATATATATATATGTGTGTACGCGCGCGCGCGCGCGATAAATAAAATAAATAAATAATTTAGTTTAATCAAAAATTTCAGACCCAAAATTAAATTTCAAATCCAAAAAAAAATCCCAACAATTAAAAATAAATAAATAAATAAATTTGCCGTTGACCAGTCAACCGGTAAGACCACAAGCACACTCCCCTCCGCTAGCTAAAACCATCGTTGCAGATAACAAACAAGTTAACACAAGTTAACAACTGACAGCTTTAACACACATACTAGCAGCTCCACTGCAAGAGCAAAAACAGAAAATGGCTAGCTAAAAAATAACAACTGACACTAACACATGCTCTAACAGCTCCACTGTGGATGCTCTTACATAGAGAATTTTGATACTTATAAAATGGTGTGACTTAATATAATTTTTTTAAACAAAATATTAATTAAAAAATTGTTTATAAAAATAATATGGTCACATTATTTTTTATTATAGCATAAAGGCAAATAGATTTTCTTTTGAATAATTTGAAAGATTTCTTTGTTCTTTACATTTATGCTATAACGTTCAAAACTTTGTTCATGTAATCATTTATTTATTATTTTATTTGAGAACATTTTCATGATGTAAGATTGAATTTAATACTTTGTTTGATAAAGAATTGTTCACTTATTTCTGGTAAAATTGTGATTCCAACTCAAGCTCCATTAAGTTAATTTTGTTCAAATTTAGTGAAATATTGGATCTGCTATCATTTCATAAAATCTAAAACAGATCATATTAGTTTGATTTTAGATTTAATGTTAATCCGAACCAGATTAAATCATACATACCCTTCCTTGTTTGAAATTGAGAGCAGTGAAATAAACAATTTAAATGCACAAAAGGTTCTAAACATAGAATATGTAAATATTTTTTAAGAAAAATTAGTGAAACATCCTTCTTCAACTTTGTGTAATAGAAGACGTTTAAGATATTTTTTTTATTAGTTAAGGTCCCTCAACATTTTTATAGAGAAAATTCGACTCAGATAAATTATGTCCGACTTAGAGAAATTTTAGCACCGACTCAAAGAAATTTTGAAATTTCTTTGAGTAAGGGAGAAATTTCTCTGAGTCAGTCAAAATTTATCTTAGTTGAATTTTCTCTGTAAAAATGTTGAGGGACCTTAACTAATAAAAAAAATATCTTAAACGTCTTCCTTTGTACTCCTTAGCCGAAGTAAGTGC